GTTAAACACAAAAACAAGCAAACAAAACACCTCGGTCCCACATTCTTCTCACTCACAGTTGTAACCTCCCAACTCCAGAAGTAGTCCAGTGACTCATCGGGAGTAGGGAGATACTAAAAAAATGGCTTATCAGAGGGGATAGTTACAGACACTGAGGGACAGACTGTGTTCTCTTTATTTGCTAGCGAAAACAATGTAGGCCTAACTTTATTACTCCATAGAGGAAATAGGGTCTTCCCTGGTGGCTCAGAGGGTAAAGTGTCTGCCTGCAATGCAGGAGACCTGGGTTTGATTCCCGGATCGGGAAGATCCCCTGGAGAAGGAAATGGCAACCCACTCCAGTACTCTTGCCTGGAAAATGCCACGGAGGAGCCTGGTAGGCTACAGTTTATGGGATCGCAGAGTCACAGAGCTGAAACATGGTAAGAGACAGAATCTAGTCCCTATGACTTCATCTAAATCCCTAGATCATGAAATGCCTAAAACTAGTGTCACAACTTGGCATTCATAGTTATATGGACCAATAAATCCCCTATACCTGCCCCCTTTTTGTTTTGTTTAAGCTCACCTGAGTTGGTGCTGTGGCTGCAAATGCAAACTTTGAAAGTTGTATTCCATTTCACAGAGGGAAAATAAGGTGCTAAATGATGTAGAATCACACATTTTTAAATGTGGAATTTTTTTAACTATTATAGCCCCAACACCAAGGACAGCACCTAGCACATGACAGGGCTCAAATATTATTTTTTTAATGAGCTAAGAGATCCCAGTGATCATCTAATCCAACCATCTCATGTGATAGGTAGCAAGTCAAGTTCCAAAGAGATTAAGTCACAAAGCATGCTGGTAGCAGAGCCAAGACACCTGCTTTGGTTGGGCTTACGGCTCTCTTAACAACACTTTTCACTTTTATGTACTAACATGAAAAAACAGTCATTTGTTAAAACCAAAAGGCAGTAAAACCTACTAATTTTTTGGGGGGGGCGGGGGGAGGGGGGCTCTGCTGCCTGACACACAGGATTTTAGTTCCCTGACCACGGATTGAACCCCAGATCCCTGCGGTGTAAGCACAAGCCACTGGACCACCAGAGAAGTCCCAGAACCTACTACTTTTACTCTTCATTTACTTCCCAAAACTAAACCTAAAATTCTCACTCTACTGCAGCAGCTTAGCTAAATAAGACACAGGACATTACTGTTACAGAAGCCTCGAGGCTCTGGCACTTACCTCTGAGGTACACATCCTTGAACTTTTTATTCTCCAGAGTGTAATTACTACGCTCACTGTCACAGTCTAAACTCTTCCTGTGGGAGCTAACAAAGTGACTTCATCCCATCTCCCATTCTATATTCAGCCCAATAAGCCATCACAGTAGTCCTATCATCACTGTAATTCAGATCATTAAAGCTTAATATAATAGTGTGTCTTAAATTCAAATGAGATTCTCTATGTAAGGCAAACAGAATAGTCTGTTTGGAAATCCTGGATCCTTATTTTTATCTCATCATTTTACCATCTTACAGATTTATTAAAAGTTGAGAATCTTTAACTTTCACCTTATCACCAATCACTTTAACAATTTTTGATTTGTCTTTTTAGTCACTAGCAGAATAAAAGAAAAACTTAAAAGTCTCTAAAATAAATTAATACTCCATAAATTTTTATTGATATCAATCTTTATAAAACCAGAATTTTTTCTAACTAACCTCCCAATTCAATTCTTCAGCTGGTTTTGCCAAGCGAAGAGCTAACATTCTGAAATCAAGCTGCTTTCTGAAAAGTTTTTTTGGGGGCTCCAAAATCACTAGAGATGGTGACTGCAGCCATGAAATTAAAAGACACTTGCTCCTTGGAAGAAAAGTTATCACCAACCTAAACAGCATATTAAAAAGCAGAGACATTACTTTGCCAACAAAGGTCCATCTAGTCAAGGCTATGGTTTTTCCAGTAGTCATGTATGGATGTGAGAGTTGGACTATGAAGAAAGCTGAGCACCAAAGAATTGATGCTTTTGAACTGTGGTGTTGGAGAAGACTCTTGAGAGTCCCTTGGACTGCAAGGAGATCCAACCAGTCCATCCTAAAGGAAATCAGTCCTGAATATTCATTGGAAGGACTGATGCTGAAGCTGAAACTCCAACACTTTGGCCACATGATGCGAAGAACTGACTCATTTGAAAAGACCCTGATGCTGGGAAAGACTGAGGGCAGGAGGAGAAGGGGACAACAGAGGATGAGATGGCTGGATGGCATCACTGGCTCAATGGACATGAGCTTGAGTAAACTCCTGGAGCTGGTGATGGACAGGCAGGCCTGGTGTGCTGCAGTTCATGGAGTCGCAAAGAGTTGGACACGACTGAGCAACTGAACTGAACTGAAGCAGATAAAGATATTTACTATTAATATGATCTTGAAGGTCATACCTGCTAAATTTAAGAACACAATTTACTCCACAAGAATAAAGTAACTGCATAATACACAGCATGAACTTCCATAAGCTTTATTCAAAATGTAGTCCAAAGAATGCAAAACACTTTGGGAGTTTTCGATCTTCAAAGCACCAAAAGACACAAATCTGAAGTGTGTCTTAATTTCTCATATCCAAACTACAAACTTATTAAATTTTTTACACCTTAAAAACATAATTTACAATGACTAATTCATCTTTAAATCAGGAGCATCTGTATAAACTTTTTCTCAAATACATCCTCTTTAAACCTAGTTATTATTAAAGAATCAAGAAAACCCATGAAAAGCTGAACAATGTAAATCTCTGAAGTCTTACTGCACACTTTTACAATCTTCCAGCTAGTGTTGAAAAGGTTACCCATCATTGTACCTAATCTGCATTTACCTAAAACAGTTTGATCACGAAGGCTTCTGGGGCTAGGCTGAGGTGCAGTCAAACCCTTCTCAGTTAGATGAATTACCATATTTCTGAATGATGATGCACTAGACAATAAATTTCTATTCAGGGCATTCCTGTCCTAGTAAAATTTTATTATGTACAGGTTTCCACAGCCGCAATGATTTCAAAATAGTATCCAAAATTACATGAAGAAAAATGTTTAAGAACAGGAAAAATAATCCTTCATTAGATTCAACAGTGCAATATTGGCTCTACCATTAAATAAAAGCAATTCACGCTCTCCTAAGAAAAAAAAAGCAGTTAAAATTTGAATTTATAACTCAATCTACATACATTAGTTCCTGCCTGGGTAATTTAAAAGCTGCATTAGATCAACCACTGAATTACAACTTCAGGTATGAAAAGCACAAAGTTCAACTTTCACATTTTTTTTTTCAACTTTAACATTTTATAAAGAGAACTCAGAATAGTAGTTAACTGACTTTACCAAGGTCACACATTGTATACTAGCTATTTCTGACTCCCCAAGCCCTGCCCAGAGCTATTTCCACTACTAAATACAATTTATTTTGAATGTATTAATAATACATTATTTTCTTCCCAACATCTAAAATAATAGTATTGGCTTAATATTTAATCTGTTTTCAACAACAATTTTTTGTAAACTGGTTAAAGTATCTTTCCAAGACACTCAATGAGACATTTCACGCCACCGCACAAAAACTCAACCAAGACTTTTGGCAAAAGAATATGCTGATTCAATGCATCTAAATATCAGTTATAATATTCCAACATTCCTGTTTTCAGTTTCCACGATGGAGTTGACTTTGAACTGAAACTTCCTAAGAAATGCACTTCTTTTATTCACACTTCCAAGTTACACTCTGAATATTCCAAATAGCTAAGCACAGAAGTTGAAAGCAGTATCTAGCCGTAAGAAAACTATTTAGAGGAATAAAAAGTTCCTTTTTTAAATGTCTTGCAACATTATCCTCTTTGTAAACTCTAAATTCTACTCACCAGAATTTATGTTAAAATGCAAACAAGAGCTGAAAGACTTCTGACTTCTAATTTGCCTTATAAAAGGTGAAAAACACGTTAATCTGATATTAGAACATATATGCAATTTCGAAAATTTCATGTATAGTTTTTTTTTAATCAGTTAGAATGTTTCATGTTTAAAGACACCTAAGTCATAAAGACAGCTTAAGTGCACCAAAAATGGCAAAAAACTTTTGCTTTGCTTCACGTCCTTAAAGTTTCCATTCAACTGAAGTTGAGTTACTACTTGATGCGGATGAAACGACTTTCACATTCCTTCTGACTCTATCTAAGCTTTTTGACACGGAAAAACAAGAATGTCGGAACGTGTGTCTGATGCAGCTCTGAGTTCAGTTTTATGGAACAAATTGGAAACAAACTGCCCAGGAAAAAATGAGATTTAAGATTCCTTTTAAAGTAGCGGTACGCGAACACCTGCCAACACATTTTATTTTTAATCGAAGAGCCGAAAACTGTACTGAGCAATAGCCATGAAACTGGGGAGCAAAGCATGAGCGCCAGGCCTAGCAAGAATAAAATTTTAATTAAACCTTGAGGGGAACTGGGTTGTGAGCCCCACAGCGTAATCTGTCACTGAGCCGAGGCTCTCCTCAGCACCTAGGCGTAGAGATCCCTGGGCGGAACCGACGCCACCATCCTGCGATCTAGACCAGCGCGTGGATGCTGCGGGCTGGGGGCTAGGGGCTGAAGGGAACGGGTTGTCCGACGCCCGTCAACAGCCTGAGGAGTTAAACTAACAAAGGGCTAATCGCGCACCAGAGCCCCCTCGGAACGGAAGCAACGCCTCGCGCCGCCCCCCGCCCGCGACCCTCCCTAAGTTCAGGGCCGGCAATGGACTCGCAGCGGGGCCTGCGGCCAGGCCGGGGCCGGACTCGCGATCGGGATGCTGGAAACAGGTAGGGCGAAGAATAAAAGCCCGAAAGAAAAGAATCGGCGCTTCCCAACCTGGTCAGCGCCGCAAAAAGGGAAAACGAGGAGGGCGAGAGGCCCCGGGGCCGAGTCCCAGCCGCGGAGCCCTGCTTCCCAGGGAGCCACCAGACTCAGCTGACGGGCCGCCACGCTTTGTTACCGGCTGTGAGAAGCTCCGGCCGCCGCCGCCATCGCCCCCGCCCCGGGGCGTCGCTTCCCGGCGGTTCTCGCCTTCCTCGGCCGAGTAATCGATCTCCCCCTCCTCGGTCTTGAGGCGCTTGGCCTGGCTCTCGTAATCCCGGTCCTCCTCGTACGTCTCCCTGGGGGAGGATGAGGAGGAGGACATGGCGGCGGCTAGAGGGACCGGCCGGCAGGCCGGTGGGGGTGGCGGCGGGGTGCGGGCCTCGGACGCCGCCGGCCAGTCCCCGTCACCGGCAGCGCCTCTCCAGCAAAGATCTGCGCGGACAAGCAGTCCGCGGGGGCCCCGCGCCCTGGAGCCGGGTGGCTGCGGAGGGTTGGCGGGATGGGGAGGCACCCCGGGAAGAGGCTCCGGAGCAGCCGCTCCCCTTTATCACGGGGCCGACATCCAGCCTCTCCCTCCTCCTGCGTCTCCGCTCCCAGCCCGGAGGAGCGAATCTAAGGATGGGGACGCGACCGTGGCTTCCGGTCTTCCCTCCTCCCCTAATCCGCTCCTCGCCGCCCAGGCCGAGCCTCCGCCCCCGCCTTCAAGGCAGCCGCCCGGGATCGAATCCAGCCGCAGCCCGCGGGAAGCGCCCCCCTCCCCAGTCTGGGCCTCGCTCCCTATTGGCAGAGGGAAAAGTCGACCAGGCTTCCAATTGGCTGTAAGTGCCGTTCGTCAAAAGCTGCCCACGGACCGGCCTCGTCCCCCCACCCCCTCCCAGCCCCTTCTGAACTTTTGCGGCTGGCCTGCGAGTCCTGACCGCGTAACGCCCGCCGTGCGCTGCGCGGGAACCGTTGCTGCTCCGCGGCCGTTAGCGCTGTTGCGCCATCCCTAGGGGAGGCGTGGAGTGAACCACGGCGGACTAAGAGACGTGCTGTGGGGCCAGAGCTGCGGGTGTTAACCACCCTCCCGCTAATTTAAATGCTTTTATTACTTCTCTTCAAAAGAGAAAATTCCTGCCCATACACCTCACACAGCTCTGAAACTACAGGGGGTGAAGAGAGAAAAGAGCTTAGAATCGTGAAAGTAGCCTTCTCCCCATGTTATGTTCAAATCTGATACAAGTGGGTGGACTCTCTCCGCTCCTCTAAGTAGGTGTTCCAGAACAGTCAACATTTCCTGAGGTGCAAGTCTGAGGAAGACGCTCCGCTGGGTGGACTTTCCGTTTGATCAGTTAGCACTCCTGGGTCTTCTACACCCTTCTTTCCTGAAGATACTGAGGACTTATTTCAAACTTCCATATGAAGTTTCATCCCAATCCTTCCCTTTCTGGGCGATCTATTTGTTTCATATTTCACATGATCATTTATTCTTTTTGGAAGATAAGAAAGCTTATCAAGAGTGTCTGCCTTTTGGACCACACAGAGCTCATTTCCTCTCTGGAAACCTGAGGCCTCCACAAGGTTCTTCTCATCTTGTAATAGGGCCCTTTATACCTACCTATTAGGATGTTCTGTTTTAAGACCCAGAAGCGCTTGGAGACAGGAACTGGGCTCTTTTCATCTTTGCAAAGCCAGTTTCTGAATAGGCCCCTGCACACAAGTTATGCTCTTAGCAAAACGGAATTAGTGGTTTTTGAGAAATAAAAGTCCAGTGTCTTTCAGGAGAGGAAATGGCAAAGCTCAGGCAACCTAACTGCCCTCTGTGACTTGAACCCTTGGTGGATTGCCTAGGACCAAAATTCACTTGTTTCACATGTCCTTGTCCCTCATATGCGTTCCTAAATATGGCTCTTCCTTTCCTAATGGTGTGGATCATTTCCTCCCCCGGACTATTCTCTTTCCAGTTATTTCCTCCCAAAGAAAGCCATTTTTATTTATTGCTGACAGTGCTTTCACCTACAGTGTTTTGTACTTTATAATTTACACTGCCTGTCATTTTAGGATCCAATTGCAAGTTTTTTCACAACACAGTACAGCTAGACTCAAATTCTTGTGTGCCTGCAGATGTACACTGATAAAGTAGAACCAAAAAACAACTAGAATTTATTTATTTAATTACTACAATAAAGTGAAAGTAGAAGTATCAAAGAGGAATCTCAGAGGAGGAAACATTGAGAGAGCACTGGGAACAATGAGCAGAGCCCAGTGACCTTGTAGAAACTTTCCAAATATCTTGTGTGATACTGAATATATTTAAGTTCTCAAAGCCTACATCCAACATATGGATTCAGTTCAGTTCAGTCACTCAGTCCTGTCTGACTCTGCGACCCCATGGACTGCAGCACACCAGGCCTTCCTGTCCATCACCAACTCCTGGAGTCTACCCAAACCCATGTCCATTGAGTCGGTGATGCCATCCAACCATCTCATCCTCTGTTGTCCCCTTCTCCTCCTGCCCTCAATCTTTCCCAGCATCAGGGTCTTTTCCAAGGAGTCAGCTCTTTGCATCAGGTGGCCAAAGTATTGTAGTTTCAGCTTCAGCATCAGTCCTTCCAATGAATATTCAGGACTGATTTCCTTTAGGATGGACTGGTTGGATCTCCTTGCAGTCCAAGGGACTCTCAAGAGTCTTCTCCAACACCACAGTTCAAAAGCATCAATTCTTTGGTGCTCAGCTTTCTTTATAGTCCAACTTTCACATCCGTACATGACTATGGAAAAACCATAGCCTTTACTAGATGGACCTTTGTTGGCAAAGTAATGTCTCTGCTTTTTAATATGCTGTCTAAGTTGGTCATAACTTTTCTTCCAAGGAGTAAGCATCTTTTTATTTCATGGCTGCAGTCTCCAGTGATTTTGGAGCCCCAAAAAATATAGTCAGTCACTGTTTCCAGTTTCCCCATCTATTTGCCATGAAATGATGGGACCAGATGCCATGATCTTTGTTTTCTGAATGTTGAGTTTTAAGCCAACTTTTTTACTCTCCTCTTTCACTTTCATCAAGAGGATCTTTAGTTCCTCTTCACTTTCTGCCGTAAGGGTGGTGTCATCTGCATACTGGAGGTTATTGATATATCTCCCATCAGTCTTGCTTCCAGCTTGTGCTTCATCCAGCCCAGCGTTTCTCATGATGTACTCTGCATATAAGTTAAATAAGCAGGATGACAACATACAGCCTTGAGGTTCTCCTTTCCCGATTTGGAACCAGTCTGTTGTTCCATGTCCAGTTCTATCTGTTGCTTCCTGACCTGCATACACATTTCTCAGGAGGCAAGTCAGGTGGTCTGGTATTCCTGTCTCTTTCAGAATTTTCCACAGTTTATTGTGATCCACACAGTCAAAGACTATGGCATAGTCAATAAAGTAAAAATAGATGTTTTTCTGGAACTCTCTTGCTTTTTCAATGATCCAACAGATGTTGGGAATTTGATCTCAGGTTCCTCTGCCTTTTCTCAATCCAACTTGAACATCTGGAAGTTCACAGTTCACATATTGTTGAAGCCTGGCTTGGAGAATTTTGAGCATTACTTTGCTAGCATGTGAGATGAGTGCAATTGTGCAGTAGTTTGAACATTCTTTGGCATTGCCTTTCTTTGGGATTGGAATGAAAACTGACCTTTTCCATTCCTTTGGCTGCTGCTGAGTTTTCCAGATTTGCTGACATATTTAGTGCAACACTTTCACAGCATCATCTTTTAGGATTTGAAATAGCACAACTCGAATTCCATCACCTCCACTAGCTTTGTTCATAGTGGTGCTTCCTAAGGCCCACTTGACTTCACATTCCAGGATGTCTGGCTCTAGGTGAGTGATCACACCATCATGATTATCTGGGTCATGAAGATCTTTTTTGTACAGTTCTTCTATGTATTCTTGCCACCTCTTCTTAATATCTTCTGCTTCTGTTAGGGCCATATCATTTCTGTCCTTTATTGAGCCCATCTTTGCATGAAATATTCCCTGGTATCTCTAATTTTCTTAAGAGATCTCTAGTCTTTCCCATTCTTTTGTTTTCCTCTATTTCTTTGCATTGATCACTGAGGAAGGCTTTCTTATCTCTCCATGTTATTCTTTGGAACTCTGCACTCAAATAGGTATAGCTTTCCTTTTCTCCTTTGCTTTTTGCTTCTCTTCTTTTCACAGCTATTTGTAAGGCCTCCTCAGGCAGCTATTTTGATTTTTTATTGGAGATGGTCTTGATCCCTGTCTCCTGTACAATGTCACGAACCTCCAACCATAGTTCATCAGGCACTCTATCAGATCTAGTCCCTTAAATCTATTTCTCACTTCCACTGTATAATCATAAGGAATTTGATTTCGGTCATACCCAAATCGTCTAGTGGTTTTCCCTTCTTTCTTCAATTGAAGTCTGAATTTGGCAATAAGATGTTCATGATCTGAGCCACAGTCAGCTCCTGGTCTTGTTTTTGCTGGCTGTATAGAGCTTCTCCATCTTTGGCTGCAAAGAATGTAATCAATCTGAATTCAGCGTTGGCCATCTGGTGATGTCCATGTGTAGAGTCTTCTCCTGTGTTGTTGGAAGAGGGTGTTTGCTATGACCATGCATTTTCTTTGCAGAACTCTATTAGCCTTTGCCCTGCTTCATTCTGTACTCCAAGGCCAAATTTGCCTGTTACTCCAGGTGTTTCTTGACTTCCTACTTTTGTATTCCAGTCCCCTATAATGAAAAGGACATCTTTTTTGGGTGTTAATACTAGAAGGTCTTGTAGGTCTTCATAGAACGGTTCAACTTCAGCTTCTTCAGCATTACTGGTCAGGGCATAGACTTGGATTACTGTGATATTGAATGATTTGCCTTGGAGACAAACAGATCATTCTGTCATTTTTGAGACTGCATCCAAGTACTGCATTTCGGACTCTCTTGTTGACTATGATGTCTACTCCATTTCTTCTAAGGGATTCTTGCCCACAGTAGTAGATATAATGGTCATCTGAGTTAAATTCACCCATTCCTGTCCATTTTAGTTTGCTGATTCCTAAAATGTCAACATTCACTCTTGCCATCTCCTATTTGATCATTTCCACTTGCCTTGATTCATGGACCTAACATTCCAGGTTTCTATGCAATATTGTTTTTTATAGCACCAGACCTTGCGTCCATCACCAGTCACATCCACAACTGGGTGTTGTTTTTGCTTTGGCTCCATGTCTTTTTTCTTTCTGGAGTTATTTCTCCACTGATCTCCAGTAGCATATTGGGCACCTACCAACCTGGGGAGTTCATCTTTCAGTGTCCTATCTTTTTGCCTTTTCATACTGTTC